TGGTTGAAAAATACGTTTATAGTGCGATATTAAGTATAGGCCAGCCTACTTAATTAATCCTACTATCTCGTATACACTTATTAACCTAGACTATTTATATATAAGATTATAGAGTATATATAGTAGTCCTTATTATACTATACTTTTACTTCTTGCGCCTACAACGGGTTTTTTATACCGTGCTACTCCGGCTCTTTCTATATTTTAATATATTATAGAGTACGTAATTATCTTAATCCTCGAAGTTCTACCTTCGACTGTCTATTGAAGTGATTGGTATATTAACTTAAGCTGATATATATAGGAACTAGATAATTGGGGCCTTGATTCTATAAGGTAGTACGTAAGATATTATATAGCTTTAAATTGCCCCTAGAAGAGCGTCTACTATTAAAAAAAGGGAAGGGTATATAAAACAGTAAATCTCTAAAAGATTCTCGGCCTAACTCCGTAAGTAGACAATCTCTAAGCTAAAGTTTGTATAATCCTCTCTGTCAATATTATAACTAGGAATAATTATAATTTTAGGCAATAATAACCTTTACGTATACAGAATATAGTAACAATTTCAGAGACCGGTATACTGTGATTAAGTATATCCGAGGTTCCTATATTAGCTTTATTAGGAGGCCTAGCCGCCTAGGAGAGTCTAACACCTATAGGTATATATAGTATTGCTTTGATTGTAAATCTCGGAACTTCAGCGATCACTGTAGTTACGATTCCGACAACGCAATATAGGGACACCTTATATAGGTACACAATTATATTTTTGATAGTATTATATAGTGAAATATCTCAGCCCACTATTTACTAGCGTGAGGCACGATCTTACCACGATACTTTAGGGGTATAGAAATATCAAGGGTATTCGGTCTATCGACTGGTATTTTTGTTTAAGTATCTACAGTATAATTATAAATCTGCTCCCAGTCTAGTAGATAGTGGTTTAATATCACCCTCTCTACCTAGACGTAGGGTCCGTGTATTTTCCTAATACTCTCGTACCCCTAAGGTCTCGGCCCGAAATTAGTTCAGCCTCGTTGCAAAGACACCTCCGCTCTATTCCGAGCCCTCGGGCGAGAGCGGAGAACTTGAACTTACTATCCTCGTTCTCTTATATATTCACTGGTAGATATAGGGGTGGCGGAGTATTAGAGAATACACGGATATAAGAGAACGCGGAGACAAATAAGCCAATAACGTCAAATAAACACTATCCTTCCTTTTCTACTAAGTGGTGTTCAATTTAATTAATTAATTAAACAATATAATTTCCTCGAACAAGTAAAACCCTCACCCAGTAACTTCCTTCACGTTTAACATTGAGAGGAGGGGAGGGCGGGAATACTGGAAAAAGCTAGCGAGACTTGACTCTACGTCATCTTGAGCATGGCTGACATCACTTATGGTGAGAATATGAGAGTTAGGAAGCACGCTGTGCTCCTATTGGCCTAAAGGCACTATAGAGCTAACATCCTCAAGGACCCTAAAGGAGAAGAGGAATCACAGATAACTCAAGAGAAGGAGAGGGCCAGCTCGTCAGAATGCTCGGCGCGAGTGATCGCGGTTGGGTTTGCGGGGTGGTTCTGGGGCATTCTGTTTAGCATGTGACCGCATCGAAATCTTCGATACGGTCACGTGTTACATGAACTCTGATTGGGGCTGGGCGGTGACCGATCTGAATGCAGTCTGCGGAGTACTCAACGAGACAAAAATAGACTTCTTCGGATAGCTATACTGCTGCAGTGAATTTTAATTCCTTCCTTGCGAGTCCTCGGTCGCTACCTTTATTTATCATTCTCTAACATGCAGGAGCTTCGACCACTAAGTGCTATCCATCCACTATATCTCTCTCCTAATCAGACACGTGCTTAAGACCCTCATTAACAAATGAGTTAACTAAGTTAACTCTCCCACCATACCAACGTAGATTAGGTAACTAAGTGGTCCTGAATCAGGACGATTACCTCAGCATCTGAGCAACTGGAAAAAACAGGTAAGGGCATGACGTCGTCGGAGCTCAGGATCGTTCTAGAGGTCGATTCGGGCGCCTCTTCTCCTGAGGAGGCGACCGTCAAATGGTTTGAAGCGGGCCACTCCTGCATGCTCCGGTTCGTCGTGTGCAATGGTCAACACACGTCCAGGATCAACCAATCCACCCGATTTCCACAATAACATTTCTTGAAGGGCATCCGTTTCCTCACTCTCCTATAACGAGAGCTTAAAACACGTTGAATCGGCCCCTAATGCCATCGGAAAGGACGGCGGGCGACTCTGATTGGAGTAAAGATAAGCGCTAACCGCTTTGGGCTAGTATGTATACCTGAAACGTGAGACCTGAGTCATTGTCTGGAAGAAAGCATTTTCCGAATCCCGGGATCTGCTGGCAGAAAGCCGATCGTTAGCCGGGCTCTGACGCACTTGCGTCAAGGCATGACTTACCCTTTTCAACAAATCGATGGCCAACCACAGCTCTCCAAACTACAAAGATCTTTACCTTGAAGCAGAAGAAGGACGGAAGCAGGCGGAAGAACGCGAGAGGCAGGAAGCAGAAAGGAGGCGATAAGCAGAAGAACGCGAGAAGCAGGAAGCAGAAGGGAGACAGCAGGAAGCAGAAGGGAGACGGCAGGAAGCAGAAGGGAGACAGCAGGAAGCAGAAAGTAGGCGACAAGCGGAAGAACGCAATCAACAGACCTCTTTCACAGAGCTCTTACAGAACTACCATGACCTTCTCTCCCGCCAGTTACGAGTCGAGACACCGTCTCGCTTAACCACTAGTAAAATACCCCTTCCGACCGGAAAAGACTGCCTAACTCGATTGGAATATTGGTCCGACTACCCAGAGCAGCTGCTTCGTGTCTATAAGTCTGTCTACCGGTATCTGCAGTCGGAGTTAGGGTAAGCGCTACGCTTATTTCTGTCTCTACCGGAGTTAGAAGGACTTAGCCGTCGGTTTGCTCGCAAACCACTTAGTAGCGAACAAGATCTCGAGGTATATAAGCGGTTTGGAGTGGAAGATCATATCTATAATATAATAGCCGAGTTATACAAAATACCAGCAGCCTATAACGAGTTTAGCCTCGGTAATAGAATCTAGTTCAGCAATCACACAAATTCTTTAAGCAGGAATAAAACCTTTGAAGCGGATATAAGCTAGCTGTTAAGCACACTATACCTACGACCAGACCAGTTCTATATTTATCGTGTCGACGGTAATATAACCACCGTACTGACGACCGTCGAGTATAAGCCGCCTCACAAACTGCCTATCGTAACTCTTCGTATAGGACTACGACCAATAGAGCTGTAGAAGGAAATAGTTAGATCAAATAAAATACCCACCGACTAGGATACGAAGCTAAGGTACAATACAGAGCGACTTATCTACTCTGCTATTGTCTAAGAATACTATATAATAATTTAAGAAGGGCTCGAATATTCCTATCTGATAAATAGAATTGCCTATATCCTACTTCGTGTTCTATAAGACGATCCCACTACGTTATACTACTTTTTTTGTGATCCCTACAACGAAGTGGATATAGTAGGCGATATAAATCGTTAGCTATCGAAGATATCTATTACGAGGGTATTATACCTTTATTTAATAGCCTTCCGTTTACCCACCCGTAGGTAAGAGTAGAGAAATCGCTTACGTCCCGATCTTTATATATAGGAAATAAGCTTTGAATATACGCGATTATAAATCCCGAGAAGTGAATTACAGTAGGTTCCTCACTCCGATAGTACTAACCCCTAGTTCCTAAGCCCTAGATCTAGTTTGTCCTATAAATTACCGTCGTTATCTCCGCTGCTGTCTCCCTTAGAGGGCTGTTAAGTGCCTATACGCTCTTAAATAAGCTGTGTACCTTCGGAGATCCGGCTGCGCTCGCGGTTACCTAACTCGTCCGGGTCCGATATAAATTAACTATCTAGCTATAAGCGGAGGATCAGTTAAGTTACACCTTTACCGTCCGCTCGACGATTAGGTCGCTAGTAAGAGTTAGTGTATAATCACGAAGATTATTCCCGACGCTACGCACAATTTTATATATAGCGATATTTACTCGGCCTATAGACTAGGAAATCCCTAGATAAGCTATATCTAAATATAGATTATTACCGCCGGGGTTAAGATAACCCGACTCAGTATCCTATCTCGGCTGAAGATTTAATACTTTTACTTAAGGGCTAATTAGACGAAAATATCGATCGTTATATTCCTCTTAGCGGTTATAGCTCCTATAGAGCCCTGTTTAAATTGACTTATACAAAATATAGTTATACGGTTATCGGTAAAGGTACCACTTCGGAGTTATAGAAAGAAGTTTCACGCGAAGCGTAGGTATATCAGATCCTGCGTAAGGCTTAAGGATCTACTGTTCCTATCTTTTTAGGAACAATTGACTTAGTAAAAATCTACTTTCTATATAGTGCTGGACAGATCCACTATATACTTATACTGGGCTGGGGCGGTAAGTATACGGCTACGATAGAACTAACGTAACGGCTTCGCCGCGAGATTTATAAATCGAATAAGGAAATAAAAGCTCTCGGGATAAAATATAACGACCTTAGGTAAGACAATATCCTTTAGAGTGAAGAGCTCGGGTATACTTTAATTATCGACTTTTACCGTTCTACCCCGAGATACCGACCGGCTAAGCAGCGACGGAGGGCCGCAAAACGATAACTATATCGAGTGGATATAGGAGATATAAAACGTCTTCGGGTTTTATAATAAGGAAATCTATTTTCTACCTATTAAATTGCAAAGGTTTATTTAATTTCAATACCTAGCTAAGACTGTTATATACTAACCGAAAATATTGAAATAAGCGCCTAACCGCTCGGCTACCTTAAGGAACGAGATTATCTATATAACTTTCCCGGGTATACTGTTAGATATATATTCTATTAGTAGGCCTCTCTCTGCTAAACTCCTTTAAAAACTTCTTATTTAATTCGGCGGCTAACTTTAAGTATTTATAGTTTACCTAGTTAACGTCAGCCTCAGCGAGAGCGTATATAATTGCTGCGATATTTTTAATCTGGTTTGTAATTAGTCAGTAAGCGATATATTCAGTGCCACTCGGATACCTACCTCTCGTCTATTCAGAGCTAAAGACTCCAATCGTCGGAGTTCGTACTCCTTAACAATAGTAGGTCCTTATATTGTATATACCTTAGACAGAAAAGTTAACCAGAGATCTCTGCGAAACTCTCTCGTTAAATTCTTATACTCAATAATTAAATAGATCCGGCTGAGAATTATATTATTAAACTAGATACCCCGATTTAAAGTTAAGAAAAGAATTCCTTAATAATATTCCAGCTTTCGGAGGAAAATAGTCACAAGGCGATTGTAGGTATCGTAGTAAGATATACGCTGCTCTATAAATACGTCTACCTTATCTAAGAGAAGTACAGTATTAAAATATTTAGCGATCTTAAATACTGTTTTAAGCTGTTACTTAAGTGTATTGGAATCTCCGTGGTTAATAATAAGTTCGCCTATAGATATCTAGAAAAATCAGTGACACCAAAATCAGCCGAGCTGGATAGTTTATACCGAATAGAGGGGGAGCTTAAAATACTCCGAGGTTACCTTAACCGTAAAAGTCTTTCCGACTCCCGGTGGGCCACTAGTATAAGTTAGGTTAGGAAGTCTTGATATTATAGACGCTTTACCGATATACTTTAGAAGAATATTAAACCCTTAGCCCTTTCTATTAATTACGTTGTCGAACGGTACCGTCGGTATTATCCCTAGGCGGGTTTTCGCTAATAATAAGAGGATAGTCTTAGTCTCTGAAGGGATCTTTAGGCAGTCGAACGACTCGGGTGTCTAAACTATATCCCTAAGAGCACTAACTGCGCACTCCACTAGAATTATATTAGTCGGATACCAAACTATTGTTAGTCGCGTTATATACAGAATATTTTCTCCTTAAAACTAAAATAGTAGACTATTAGGTAGGCGACCAGTAAATCGGCCTCGCTCAGCTTTTATATATCTACACTGTCTCCTCGTATTCTCTCCTTCTCCCGCTTACGGTCCTCTATATATATTATACCTATATTAATTAGACCTCATAACCGCCCGCGAGCGGCCCTCTGAGGGCCGCCCGCAGACCCGCACTTTTGCGGGCGGAGGGCAAGCGACGCCTACCCGCGGGTCGGGCAGGTTATTTTCTTGCCCTCAGAGGGCGGCCCTCCAAACATTTTGAGGGCCGACAAACAGGACAAACAGGGAAATCCCTAGAGTTGCATAAAATATGCATTTCTCAGCTGTATTATTTAGTATTTGGTTTACAGCTTAGTATTATAGAAAATAAATATAACCAGGAGTAATCATTTAAACAGGCTAAATAACATCAAATCTTAATAGAAATATCTTATTCTTTGAGGAACTAATATACGTTATATAGCTTCAAGTTCTACGGCGTTTATCACTCTCAATTTCATAACCATCAAGCTTACTTGAGCGCTTCCGAACCCTCCCTGAATGCCGTTGTGTATAAGGCAACTCAGGCTCACCATCCGCATCCTCCTCCTGCTCTTCAACCTCGAGCTCCGATTGAGTCCGCTGCCTCCGTTGTGATTGACCTTGATCAACTACCACTTCGATAGTACCATCCTTATCCTCCACGTCCTCGTAAGTATCACTGCCCTCGTCATTATCACTTATAGGGTCAAAATGATAAGTATTGGTTATATCACTCTCCTCTTGGTTGGCTTATATCTCTTTATATAAAAGATACTTATTGATCAAAGCTCGGTGGGTATCTTCGATCTCAAATTTTGATATACACATAAACATTATTAGATCTTGAACTGTTGATACCTTTAGAGAGCCTCGTCGGTAGTGATAGATATCCCTAGCGGAGTTGAAAAGGCGTTCTACACCCGCCCCTGTAGCTGGTATTGATAGTATATCGCGTGCAAGGTTTACAAGAGTAGGGTACTGATACTGATACTCTTTCCAAAATATACAGGTAGGCGTTCGTATAATACCTTAAATATAAGTTAATATAGGGTAGATAACAAAAAGATATAACTTACCACTGTCAAGGTATTCCTTAAGCTCATCATATTCACTCAATACTAAGGGCTGGGACCCTTCTACTCCGTATTCTATTTCAAGCTCTAAAATCGCGATTGCGGATAATCGAGCTCTGGATAATGATTATATATCTGAATGAAGTTTCTTATAGGACTGAAAGTATTCCTCAAGACTTACTCGATAGATTACACACCAGTTATTAACCGGATTATCCCAGTCCTTTCCTTTAAAAAAGTCAAGCTTTTGTTGGGGTGAGAGAATAGTGCCAATTGCGTAAAGATTGTTATCAATTTGATCGGTCTAGCTATAATATTGCGAAAGCTTCTTCTCTGCTGCCTCAAGAGAAGCAAGTATAAGCTGCTTCCATGCAACCTTCTTCCGTTTTAAAACAGTCTTTAACTTTTCAAGGTGGTTAAAGAGCTTGTTGTAGATATTAAAGATCAGGTGAATACTAACATCCTTAGTTTTAGAAAGAAGAGTGGTGAATTTGAAGAAAGGCTGGGTGATCCAAAGAAGATAGTCAATCTATCGCCACTCTTCTGGACTTAGTGTAAAGTGTTCCTAGTTATACTGAGCGCAGAATTGATCAAAGGTTGATTGGAGCCGTTTAGCACGTCGGAGCATCAAAAATATCGAATTCCAGCGAGTTCGGATATCCTGGATCGGAACAAGCTTTGGCTCCTCAGTTTAAAGGTTATAGAATGACTCTCTCCGTTGTAGACTTACGTTAATGTAGATAGCAAGGTTTCGGACCTATATAAGAATAGAAGGATTAGTATAATAAAAAAAGTAGAGTTATAGGGATATACCTTATTAAGCGTATCAACAATTTCTCTTTTTTGTTGCCTTACACGAAGAGAGCGAACACGGTCGTCAGACCAGTCCATCTCCGCACTCTCATTCTTTAGAATTGCCTTTATCTTCCCAAGAAGATCATTCAGACTAAGCTGGATAATATAGGCAATACAAGGAACCCGAACGATTGTAGCACCATTGTTTAGCTTAAGCGACTAGAGTGATTCTTAGATACTTGCTATCATAGTATTATTATTTGATATATTGTCAGTAGTGACTGCAAGTACTCGATCTGCAATCTTATACTGATAGAGGAGCTTTAAAACCACGTCACTTAGGTTGACACCTAAGTGTGAGCCAGATAATAGTTCAAATCCAAGAAGAACCTCTCGATACTCCCAATGCTAGTCGAGGAAGTAGCCAGTAACAGCTATAAAGGCCTGTCGAAACGGAGATATCCAGCAATCTAATACAATCGAAAGCTTTGCATTGGGAGGAAGCTTGTTAAGAATAGACTGTTGCTGTTCCTGGATATACCGCCGTAGTCGAGACCGCATTGTGACCGCAGAAGGGATCTGTGGTTGTGTCGGGGTAAGTCGGGCAAAGTTAATAACTTCACGAAATTCTGGGTATTCAATAAACTTAAAGGGGAGACGGGAGAGGGTAAGTAGTTGTAAGAGCTTCTGTTCCTATACCTCTTGCGTAAAAACTGTTGACTTGCTTAGTACGTTCTGCGCCTATTAATCCAGAGAGTTATTAGTAAATAAATAATAGAAAAATTGTATAATATATACGGTATTCATAAGTAGTCCCTTAATATTACCCTTCTGGGTACTGGATTTACGACAAGTCGGTCCAGCTAAGTGTCGATGAAGTGCAGTTGTTCTATACCGCCCATTTGCTGGATAATCGAGGACTTTATAGCATTGACGATATATTGCCCCTGGTTTACCAGTTTTTGCATCAGCCACTTGATCAAATTGCTCCCAGCAAGTGGCTGTCCGGTTACCATTCCAGTTTAGTCGTTTTTTTGTCTTTCCAAACTCAGTCTCCAACCACTAGGAAACAAAATCATCTTTTGATATATCGGTGTATAGAATAAACGCTATTGATCGACCTAGGCCAACACGCTGAAGTGAAGAAGGAATTGAAGGTAGAGGAATTGGGGTAAGAAACCCAGAATTTAAGGTGGTATCAAATGTCTGCTGGCTTTCGGAAACCTCAGGGGTTAGGAATTGCTCATTCGGAAAGCAGAGAAGAGGGTCGACTGAATTTGTAGGATCACCGTCGTAGATAGATAAGGAATAGATATCTAAGAACTGAGAAATTTGAGACATTGTTAACCAAATAATCACTTGTAGATTATATCTTAACAACGGGATAGGAATCAGAAGGTAGATATACCAAGAAAATTAACAAATCCTAGTAAATAGAATTGATCAACTACCCTGAAGTTCAGCTCACTAGGTAAATAGTAAATATATCACAATTTGATCCACTTTAACTTAAGATAATCTCTATAATTGGCTAGATTTACTAGGCTAATTGAGGGCCGCCCTCATCCAGCCCTCAATCCGCCCTCGGAATATACGGGCCGCCCTCAACCCACCCTCAACCCGCCCTCAAAAATCAGTATTCAGATAAGAAGTATATACCCCAGGTCTAGCTGAAGTTGCAAATATATATTTCTCCAACTCCATCATCTAATATTGACAACCTTCACAATTGACAACAACCAATATACTTAAAGATACTAAGAATATATAATATCATTATTACCTGCCATGATTTATCGTAATACAACTCAATTTCATAAAGTTTCTTGATGCTGATAAAGAAATGGATTGTAAATATAACATTCAAACCAGAACACCGTTAAATAACCGTAATTTAAAGTGATGAGTTAGCACTTTTATACATCTAAATTAGGAAAGGTCAACTTTTTTTATGTAAACGAGGGCCGATGAGGGCCGCCCTCGAGCGGCCCTCAGAGGGCGGAGGGTCGGGTGAGGGCAGGCAAGTATCCGCCCTCCGCCCGCGAGGGTCGGGCGGAGGGCGGGAGATTCCGGCCCTCTGAATGTTTTTAATGAGGTCTAATATTAATAACTGTAATTCTATTCTTTTCCCTAACCCCCTAGTCGTACAGTAACAGTCGGGAGTAGTTTAGCTGTATTTTATAAAAGAATACGGCGTCCACTACCACTCGACTGTTAACGTTAACTTTGATCGCCTTCCCCTTATTTATAAAGAACGTACTACCGTTACAGTGCCGAATATACGAGCCGGCCAAATCCCGAAACTTTTAGCCTCTTTTAACTAAGTCTTTCCGAACTTCCTTATACCTTAAATAACAGCGGAGAGGGAAGGCCTTAAGGCTCTCGATCGGCCTTAACCCCCGGAACTTTACTATACGCAGAAATATTCTAGCCTCGCCGAACTTAACTCCGTTATAATCGATAAATCGGCACTCGAGATTCCACTATATCTCGTTATTTTATATTATCTCTTCGCCCGCGTCGAATACGATATATCGCGGCTCTTTTATACCAATATATATAGTATAAATATAGTAACTAGGCTTAAAAAGCGCCTAAAGAAGGTTATATATAATATAACTGTGCTGCAATATTGATTCGAGACGCTGTAAAGTAGAAGTATATATATACTTAAGGTGGTCGATAAGTAAGAGGAGATACTCCGTATATACCGACTTATAGTCTAAACTGCTATCTATATTCTCCGTATATCTATCGAGCTCTAGGAGGAAATAAAAAAGGAAATTTTACTCGATCTAAATCTACGTCAGCGTACTCCTTAATAATAATACTATCTCAATTACCGATAGCTTATCCTCTATTAGGCTAACAGCCTTAATATTGTGCAGTATATCTCGCAGGATATCGCGTAGGCCTTCCGACTTGATATCTATAAATAGCACTACCTCCTTAGATATCCGGTCTGATTATACTATTAGTAGGTTTTCGGTCCGGTATACAAAGGTATTATATACCAATATATTCACAGACAACGAATATATATTCAGTATAGTCGTTAACACCACCGCTGGTCTCTACCGGTTCGGTGATCGTATATTTATATACTTCTTTATCCCAGCTAGACTATTGTTAGCTATCTAAAAAAGTAGAAGGGGTAGTTAGCTAGTGGCTTATACGTTTTTATAACTGTTTTAAAATAGGATTTTGATACCTATTTCTCAAACGACTTAAAATTATCCGGTATAGTATAGATCGAGCTTTCGAGATTAAGCCTATCTACCGCCTAGACCTTCTCTACCTACTTATTGCTAGAAAAGTAAGGCTGAGAAGGCTTAGAAGGCTTATTTACTATAGGAAGCTCAGCTGAAGAATATCCTTTGCGGATAACCTTCACTAATAACTGCTTTAGTTAAACTATATCGGGGCCTAATTAAGAATAGTACTAGAAGACAGGAGTGTTTAGAGGTTCTCGGTTAGTAAGACTGAGCAGCACACTTTCAAAGAGATACTTTAGATCCTCCACAGTATCTCGAGGTGTGGTCGATTCCTTCGTTAGGCTATCCGGCGGTGTTATACCTTAGTGACAGGGAGACGAAGTCTTTTTCGATACTATATACTCTGAAAGCAATCTTAGGCTGCTTTAAATAGGTACTATACTGTTTAATAGAATTTATTTATATAATAGAGAAGAAAGGTTGAATCAGCACAGTAAAAGCTGATATAAATATAAACGAAGAACTTAATAAGGCCGAGAGGTACCTCCTATTTTATATCTTCGTCGCCCACCCTACCCTATATAAAACCCTTTAACAACTTTAATAAAAGTACGCTGTAGATCGTATAAACTTGGATAAACAGTCTTAAAGGGATTGAGTTATACTTATAGGAGTAAGCCTATCTCTACTGTCTAGGACGGCTAAGATAGATAGGTATAAAGAATCTGCACGTCTAGTTTTGAGAATATATACCTTTAAGACTGTGATATAAGAAAGTAATACGAAATATCGTCGAATATTCAGCGATATTTCGACGAAATTTCGATAAATTTATATAGTTTAATCTTATCTCGGATTGATATTTCAGAGGGAATAAATAATTTTACAGAGATTTAGGTAAATTATTCTAAGTTCGAATTTTATTGTTCTTATTATATTGATCTTAAAGATAGCGAAAACTTTTGATCTTTAAGCTCAAAGATTATTGTTATTGTTACTTGATTAGGTCTTAATAGGAGACCAGCGCCTAACCCTTCGGGTAAAGAACGTTTGTTACGTAATAATATAAAGACGGATTTTATTCTACCCCTTATCTACCCACTTATTTATTTACCAGCGTATTATAACGACTGTTGCTTAACTTAAAAGGTAATACAGCCCTAAATAACTGTAGTTATTAATCCTTAACGGAAAATTCGTGTTACTTAAAACGAAATAACTCAAAAGTAACGTCGTTAGTGATTATCCTTAATCTTATTAGACTAAGCGGCGACGTAAGTTAAGCGCGTTTACTTCTTATCTAGCGTATATATAATATATTCTAATATACAAAAGTATTTATTCTCCCCGATAAGTTTGGATTCTACTAGAAAAGTGTATACAGAGACCAGTACAATAGATAAGGTAGCCAAAAAAGTTCGCACCGAAAGCTTATCAGACAGCGGGATTCTCGAAGAATATAAGAAAGAAGTGAGAATAATATATTAGATATTTATCTATAAGAAGAATACTAATTACCTAGGTAATATATAACTTATACGATCGAATAAACTAGATAACTCTATTAAAAGGTATTTAGACTACCCCTCCACCGAGAACGGTTACAATTGTCGTGGATATTGTTCAGAATAGAGGCGCTATACAGATATTCGAGAAAGAAAGCGGTAAATACGTCGACGGAGTTAGAACCGAGGAGGAAGGCTTTCGGATTATTATTCTATAGAGAGACACTTAGCGCTTTAGAGTATCGGGTGTCGTTAAAGTTAGGTATATAATAGCAAAGGATACAGATTAGTTTAGCGGCTAGTTCTATATTACTAATAGACAGTGTAAGATTAATTGATCTGTTAGCTCGTTACTAACTAGAATTGTAATAAAAGATATCGTGTTCACTCTATACGTATCTATAAGCTATACTGCGCCTAATATCTAGCCCGATTCTATAATATCTCGAATATCTTATACGTTAAGCTCGTATATATCTCCGGTCAAAGGGCCTTTAGGTCGATTTAGCTAGTAATTATCCACTTTGTGCTAAGGCTATACCTATATCTTACCGCTTCCCGGGTTAAAATATTAATAAATCCGGCGACGTAACTACCGCAGGTAGCCCTTCACTATATTAGCTAGCAGTATAACCTATAAGATTTAGATATTATACTAAAGATCGGTTAAATGATTTAGAAGCTTCCTTAACCCCGCTCCTAATACTCGAGAGCGTTATAAGACTCGGAGACTTAGTTCACCGTTCTATTATCGGCTTATAAGGGAGCCTAGGGAGCCTCTAGGTAGAGAGAAAAACTGAGATACTAACGTATAAGCTATCGGAGTATAGGGTTATTAAGGTTAGAGTGATTTTAGATCTTATATAGAAGATTAAGTCGTATACTCTCCTTCGCGATAGCAATTACCGATAGTCCTAAGCTAATAGCACAAAGAACGACTATAGATAGACCGTTCAGCTATAGAACCTTACGGAGGAAGTTAAGATAAGTCGACTATCGACCTACTCCGATAGAGTCCTAGGGTAGGTACCTATTCCTCAGTAATATAGCGGCTACCTTAATTCTTTTCCTTTCTTTTTCTTTTACACCGTTCCGACGCTCAATATCTCTTAAAGCCTAGGAAAGCTGCTCTATAGCACTAGTAAGAGACAGAACTATACTTTAGAATATATAAGTGAAATTTTCGTCGAAAAGGAGCTAAGAGCGCGTCGATAAAAAGCGCTAAATACCACAAATCAATATCGAAAATCTGTCGAAAATCTGTTAAAATAGAGACGAAAGACCACCTTTTTATAGCCTTCTCTATTAAAATAGGTTACCGGGCTATGCTCTTATAGATTGATAGGACACTAGCGAGTGCGTATAGCTTTCAGCAATCTTATTGGCTGATACTCTTTACTATATTAGCCTAGATACGCTGAGGTCGAAAAAGGTAGGGTAGTCGTCTAATCTCTGGCTTAAGTGAAAAGATAACGTAACCTTAGTCCACTAATCCTATACGTACGAGGAATACCCCTTAAAGTTATATTTCGGCTACGTTAGAAAAGATAGGATAGCGCGAGGTACTACAATTAGATCTCCTCTCCTACCGATATAGCCGCTAGTCTAGATTATAGGCTAGGTACTAAGAAAGGGCTCGCCCTTAAAGCACTAGAGCCTCTTTCACTACCCTTAACTAATTATAGTATCTATTAATAGGTACCGCAGAGGTAGGTACTATAAGCGACCGAGCCCTTATACAGCACTCGAACCCCTTTAGATATAGTATTTATATTAGGGTTCCCCGCTCGACCTGTGTAACGTAATCTAAGGTATAAATATTGTAGGTAATATCGTATTTTTCTGGTCCTTAGTTACTTCTTAATTCTAAGTCTTAAGCCTAGAGATATATAATTCTGATTATACGATAAATATTAACCTTAACCTCTTTAATATCCCTATATACTGGACCTAGATAACTTCTAATATTATCTATATATATTTTTCTATTAGATCTTCCTAAGGTAAGCTAGTCTTTACTAGTAAATTTTAGCTTAAGACTAACTTAACCTATAGATAACTATTCGAGAGCTAATTGAAATCACCAATTCTTACCACTAGTCTTCAGTGTTAAATAGTATACCTAAGAAATCCTAGGACTGTATAGATCTAAAGTATAAAGACTCGATTGTATACCAGCCCCCTAAATAAGATTACCAAAATAATAGATAGTTATTTATCAGCCGGGGAAAGAGGGGGAAGGAGGAAGGAGGAGAAAGGAATAGATTTAAGGGAGTGTTAAGAAGTGTATTAGGATAAGTTTAATTTAACTAGTAGAGCAGTGTCTAAATTTAGTTAATAGACTTTCGAGCAGCACTAAAAATTTCCCTATAAATAGTTTCCCTACTTACTACGCTAGGATAACTATCGTAAAGAGAGTTTCGCTCTTAGTGGCTATAAATCTTAATCGGGTAGAGACTACTAATTTTAGAGTTTAGTTGTTTACGGGGACACAAGTACGTCGTTAGCGTCGGAAACTATAATATTTTACTATAACTACAATAACCGACTGTATACTTAAGGGCTGTTAGTAGCTAATCAATTCGCCGAAGGCGGAAGTAGGTTCGCGTGAAGTTACGTATAGTTTCCAATATAAAGATATTCGAGGCTACTAACTACCTTTCTCTTCTGCTAACTTAACACTGCTTTTACTAGCACAGCTTTACGGAACTTATATCTCTTATAAATATAGAAGTTATCTAAAAGAATAAGGTATTTAGAAGGATTGATAGTAAAATAAAATTTTCCTATATCTAGGTTTTTGTTCGGTAAGATAGTATATTATATTCTGGAAAATAGACAAATCGATTAAATTCGCTAAAGACACTGGACGATCTCTAGGAACTTAAGGAAATTCTAACCGGGGATAGGGGCCTAGAAGTAAAAACCGCTTAGTTAGCGATCTATATAAAAACACTAAGTCTCCTCGCGTATATCGACGGAAACCTTAAAAAGTAAATCGCTCGCGAAGTCGAAATATACGAAATTCTCCGTAAGAACCCCTATCCGAATATCGCGACCTACTATAGCTACAATAATACCCGCGGTCGAGTCTCTAGGCTATACTTTAGACGATATACGTTAACACTACTTAAAGTAGTCAATCCCTAACGTCTAGGTAAGGTCGCTTTCCTTTTAAGTGCGCGCGAACTAGTGAAAGCGAATATAAAAAGTAGCCTAGAAGGAATTTTGGCCGCTATTAAGTATCTCTATTCTTTCGGACTTATTTATAACGATATTAACCCTGCAAATATTATACTTAGCGATAATAGTACGTTTATTCTTATCGATTTCGATAGCTGTCGATCTATCGGAGAGTTATTACGCGACACCGAAACGAAAAGAACCCGCTACTAGTATAACCCTACTGTCGATATTTCGCTCGAGAAAAATAATCTTAACGCTTTCAAAGATCTATAAATCTGGTTAACTAGATCGGCGGATAAGAAATTTATTTTTAAATAAATTGCTTTTTAGTAGTATTAACACCTAAGCTTACAGGACTTTAATCTTATATCTCCTTTAGATCACTCGTGATACCTAGGGGGAGGGAGTACAGCGTTAGATTTATAAATCGAATAAGGAAATTAAAGCCCTCGGTACAATATATAAAGAAGACCTTAGGCGAGATAATATCCTTTAGAGTGAAGAGCTTAGGTGTACTTTAATTATCGACTTTTACCGCTTTGAAATATCGACCGACTCTACAGTAACCTAGGGTAGTAAAATAACGACTATATAAAACTCTAAGCTATTACCTACTGGCTAGTATAGGTTATATATTAGTAAATATATTTAAATTAAGGAGTGAAAGTATAGGAATAACTAAAAGAGTAGGGGCCTAAGATCGATAGGCTAGGAAAAAGATAGGTAGGTTAGAGATAAAAAGGCGTACTAGCAGAGGGAGACCTAGATATCTTCGTAGTATTGTACTCAGTCACTACCCTAGGGAAGGAGTATAATTATTGATATAAAAGGATAGGATACTAGTATTATCCCAGTGGTTACGCTTCTAGGTAATAGGCCTTATAAGCTAGATATCGGATAACGCGGTATCTCCGGTAAAAATAAAAGGGGCAGTGCGTTAGGCTGAAAGTAAATATACAGTAGTCGGTAGGGGCTAGAGTAAAAAAAAGGGGGCGGCGACGAGTATAAAATAGAGAGACAGAAAAATAAAAAAGTAAGAGAAAAGGGAAGATAGGTCTTTTATATCGGAGAGTACTAAAGGGAGGTTACGTAACAGCGTATTAGGGCGCTAAACCTAAAAAGGAAAATCTAACCCAATATAGGAATTTATAGGTCCGCGGTTAATACTTATATTGAAACTTATATTAAAATAGATAGCTACGGAGGATATTGTATACAGCGAAGGGTCGATAGGCGCGAAATAAGATATACCCCGATAATATAGCCTCTCTTATTCGCGTCTCCTTAGTTTTCTAGACCGAGAGCTAGCCTTATAGCGTAACTTAGTTAAATAGTAGACTTAAAGGGATAATATATTTCGGCCTAGGAAGTGAGCCGTAATCTTAGACTATAATATAGCCTCTTTTTCCTTCAGCCGCACTAGCAGCGTATTCTTATCCGACGTATACGTATATTTCAATAGGGGGATAACCGCTATATAGGCTAGAGGCAGCGTTAGGCTAGGGTCGGGTACAAAAGTAAAGAAATATACCGGTTTCAGACTAGTATTAGACTCGACTATAAGGATAGCACTCCTATATAAACGCTAGATAGCACTAAGGCGATAAGATAAAATAGGAATAGAAGATTTCGAAAGGTCGGAAAGTAGACTAATTGAAGGTCTCCTTTTCTTCCTCTGCTAATACAGCTGTGCTGTATTATAGGGGGTATTCTTATCTTAGTGGTCGCCGGTACCTCGACCTAAGCGGAGTCGCTTCTTATATACTGCCGCAGCGGCCCTTATCTCGCTTTCTGTTCGGAGAGGCTATTTATATTACTGAGACAGAGTCCTTTGTTCCTCGCTCTTAGCGACGGAAGTTAGAGATAATAACCGACGGCTAGTCTAACACTAGGGCCTGATCTAACACTAGATATAATCCTATAACTTCCTCTGTTAGGCTATATAGCGACTGCTTCTTACTATCTTAAAATACGGGTGAAATTGAAGGCGCTAATATTCTATTTTAACAAAGTTTTAGAGATACTAATAGGGTTTGGCCGTATAATACAGTATCGACCGAGGTTAGGCGAGTGTGCGGTATTTTTGCTATTAGCTTATATTACGGTGGTATATTTTCGAGATTCGCCGATTAGGTATAGAAAGACCGGAGAGGCCGTCGATAACGATAGATAGGGGGTCTAGGTACTTATAAATAAGCGGTCGAGAGTAGGAGTATATAGTATCGAGGAGACTTCGCAATAAGGGAGGCTAGCGGAATATTAGACACTTAACGGTAAGGCCTTATCAGCAGAAAGTAAGCGATCTAGATAACTTTATAGACTTCTTCAGAAAATAGAGTATTAATACACAATATTGCTAGACTACCCTAGTGTTTCTACTCCTAAGCGACTAGATAGAATTGCAGCCTACGCTGGTTAGAACGACTAGGGAGTCGGATAAATCCTTCTTCTACTAAGAGTAGACAATCTTAACTAGATCCTGCAATCTAACCTATTGTAGTCGAGGACACTAGACTATACCAGTTTTATAGTCTATAAGTTATAGTTCACTAGTAAAAATTCCCGTAGTTACAGTCTTATATTAACTATAAGATACAGTATCGACTAAGGTCTAGGGTATATACGGTATTTTCGCTATTAGTCTATATAACCGAGCTGTGATTTCGAGTTTTTACCGATTGGGTGAAGAGGGACCGGAGAGACCGACAATAACGATAACTAGGCGTATAGCTAGGTAACCGGGAGCTATTCTATAAAGCCGGGGCTGTGCAATAAAACCTTAGGTGGGGCGGCGGGAGAGGGATATATAGCGTCGAGGGTATACTGGCACTTTGCAGATTTGAAGGGAGGCCCGCGGAATCAGAGATAAAAAGGCGCACTGGCAGAGGGAGACCTAGATATCTTCGTAGTATAGTACTCAGTCACTGCCCTAGGGAAGGAGTACGATTATCGACACGAAAGGACAGGATACTGGTATTATCTTAGTGGTTAGGCTTCTGGGTGACAGGTATTATAAGCTGGATATCGGATAAAGCGGTATCTCCAGTAAAAATGAAAGGGGCAGTGCGTCGGGCTGAAAGCGAATGTACAGTAGTCGGTGGGGGCCAGAGTAAAAGAAATAGGGCGGCGATAAGTGTAAGATAGAGTGGCAGAATAATGAAAAAGTAAGAGAACAGGGAGGAAGAGCAGCGAAGACGGGTCTTTTATGTCGGAGGGCATTGAAGGGAGGTTACGTGACGGCGTATTGGGGCGCTAAACCCAAAAAGGCAAAACTAACCTAATTCAGTAATTCATAGGTCCGCCGTTTACATGACAAATATTCCCTTGGCTTCCTCTTCTCGGTATCCCTATCTATCTAACCTATCAATTGTCAAATCGTGTGGTGGACAGAGACGAAGTAATGGCGTCATTCCCGACCGGACAGTTGGTGATACCTCACCAGTTGAGGGTCTGCCAAAAAAAAAAATACTTTTCTAATATCTTCAACTTCTGAAGAACTACACACGTATGTACTTTTTAGGTAGGCAGGTAGGTACGAACCAAAGCTTAGTAATGATGATAATTTGGGGGCCGAAAAATGTGAATTTTGATGACACTGGGCTAAGCAGAATTTTGAGCTTTTGGAAAGAAAAAAAAAACCTGAGACAACCACGAAACATTAAGCACCTAAAACGCACAAAACTCACACCAATTCAACAGCACTGATCTCTGTGATCTGCTTATCGAAACGGACGTGGCCTTTTCCAGCACACTCGATGGTTGCGGTCTTAGCTCCAAAACGTCTATACTGAACAGAATTTGCCAGCATTTGCAGAACATCCACAGTTGTCTCCCAGTCAATGCAAGCATCGGTGATACTGACTCCAGGCCGGAGCCCACTCGTCCCTTGCGAAGGCACCTTTTGATTGCCCTCATTGAGATTGCTCTCGATCATCACACCAACGATTGCAGTCTCTCCACTTGCAATCTGACCAGCCACATTCGTTGCCACAACTGCCTGGTTTCGATGGTTTTTCTCTGAGTTACCATGCGAACAATCAATCATGATGTTCTCCCGCTCGCCTTTCAGCTTCAGCGTCTGTCTCGCCCGGCCGATATGTTCCTTACTATAATTCGGGCCCTGATTGCTGCCTCGCAAAATAATGGACCCATGTTCATTCCCAGTGGTGCGAGTCACAGCTGCCATACCCTGTTTCGTGACTCCCAAAAATCTGTGAGGTTTGGAGGCAGCCTGGATAGCATCGATGGCGACGCCAACACTGCCGGATGTCCCATTTTTATACCCAATGGGAAAGCTGAGGCCAGATGCCAGCTCTCGATGCAATTGAGACTCCGTGGTGCGTGCACCAATTGCCCCAAGGGAAATAAATTCCGCAAGATACTGTGGCGAGATGGTATCAAGCATTTCACTGGCAATTGGGACACCCATATCGGTCAAGCTTGAGTAAAGCTGACGGGAAATGTGTAGTCCCTTGTTAATTTTATAGGACCCATCAATGTCAGGATCATTGATCAGACCCTTCCAGCCGACGGTGGTACGAGGCTTCTCCAAATAAGCACGCATTACGATGCAAAGAGTTGAAGAGAGTCTTTTAGAAAGTTCACGCAAGCGGGAAGCAAATTCCAATGCCTCTTGTGTGTTGTGAATTGAGCAAGGGCCAACGACCACTAGTAAGCGGTCATCTCGTTGTTCAAGGATATCGATGATCTGCTTTCGACTGGAGCGTACGGTTTCTAACGAAGATAGTGACTGTCCGATGTCAGTGATAACAATTCCCAATTTCCTAGTGAGATTGTATAGACTTACTGCGGGGATTTCTCGCTGAAGATACTCGGGGGCCAGCAATGGATCAAAGCCAACGACTATGTCAATCTGTCAATGCCGTTCCAGGTATGGATGAAATCTCACTAACTGCGTGTGTCTTCATGGACTTCGGAAACCCGTAAGAGAGGCATAGTTATCGCGAACAGTGAGTTGGCCTCTACAGATTTTGCTATGGGAAAATCACGAAATCCTTCTAGGACGCTCCGAGGGAACATAGAAATGTACGTAGAGGTCTTATAAAGATATCGGTGAGGCGCATTGAACATGAACACGACGGCGTTCCAGCCGCGTAGCACGTTGCGTTACATCCCGAAGTCCGGTGAGTGACATGTGCAAATCCTTCCCTCGCTTTCCAAGTATGTATTCATTCTCGAGCGAAGATATAGATTGAGGACGCTAGTCAATTGTTGCATGCCAAGGCGCTAATATAGCAGCTGGATAAATCAAGCAGAGCAAGCTTTGATTGGCAAAGGACAGTGCGGACCAAAGGGCTACCGGGCTCCCCTGTCATTGTCCCCATTCAGCCCGCGCAATAAATTCAGGGGTGGCCCGGACATTAGTCGGACGCGGCCATTGGGCCTGATTCCTCAAGAAAGTGAATTCCTAATTTTGTTACTTGACATGTATTTTTCCGGGCTTTGGTAAAGATGTATCAAATCCCGGTCACTTACTAGTCAGATCCCCAAGCTTTGGGATTTGCCGGGATTCGGACCGAGTCTCATGTCGTGATCGTACGGCCTTGAAATCCCCTTTCGAACAAAGTGTACATCACATGACCCCTCATTCGTTTTCTTTAGATCTTTTTAATTCTTCTACGTTTTACCTTGCTCCTAAAACCTCGTTCTCTGTAATTCTCATTCTGCCAAGGCTAACTAACAATGATCTCTGAGAAAGAGTTCTTGGCTCGCCTGCCTCCGGCCATCAGCCACTGGCTGGGCTATCGTGAGAGTGCACCCAAGCCTCCCTCAAAATATCTCATTCACTTCTGGTCGTTCATAGCCGCATTCTGTGGTCTATGTGTGGTGCAGGCTATATTCAATTACTCTTCCTACTTCATTGGACGTGGTGTCCCGGGTATCATTGCTTCCTACGTGCGTCTCCCTTTTTCTACGCGCCTTCTCAAATACTCATTTCTAGGTAGGGAGCATCGGCAGTCCTTGTATATGGTGCTATTGAGGCCCCTCTAGCACAGCCACGTGCTCTGATCGGTGGACATTTTTTGAGTGCTCTGGTCGGTATCTGCATCACGAAACTCTTCAGCCTAATGCCCGATGAAGAAAAGTTCAACTCTCTGCGCTGGCTAGCTGCTTCGCTTTCGTCCTCTGTTGCCATTGTTGTTATGCAGCTCACCGAGACAACTCATCCTCCAGCCGGAGCCACGGCCCTCCTTCCCGCAGTAGACGAAGCTGTGTGGGCACTATCTTGGTACTATTTGCCAGTTGTCTTACTTTCATCCACTATGCTCCTGGTTGTGGCTTTGATCGTGAACAATATCCAACGCCGTTATCCGGTGTTCTGGATCAGTCCACCCGCTCCAAAGCCCGTTCTTCCCCAGGCTAGCAATTCAAAATAGAGCTATGAGCGTTTATTGCCACGTGGCTATATAAATGTCGTGGGGTTGCTGGGGAATGATACTTTGTTGCATCGGTTGTTGCAATAAGTAAAAGGAAGTTGAGCGTGAATATGCTTGCCGTTTAGATGGCAAGTGCAGTGTCGGGATGGTATTTCCGACAAGCTTGTGGGGGCCTACTATGACCCCTTCGAACGACGGGTTTTTTTTATGACTTAGTAGAAGAACGTTGTATCCAACATATTATTTGGAGAATTAATTGTTCAAAATCAATAAGGAACCGGCAATCACCAAGGTCCGTATTCCGTAGGTACTGAGTCATAGGGTTTGGGCTCCCCAGATCCACGGCCTCGCTCCGACCCGCCTAGCCGTGGCGCACGGGTCGCCAAGGCGGCCAGCCACCCATGGATCTACAATTCCTAGAAGGTTCAGATCTGAGATCCGTATAATATTCCAAGGTTGCCATTCATGGATGTACCTAGGTATATAACCAAACCGCTCAATGGCAGAGACAATCTCTAGTATTCTACAACATAAATGTCATATCACGGCGTATTCTCGCGGCATCTCGGTCAATATCCGGTCGCTCTACGAAAAAATTTGCGATGGCTTGCAGTAGCGTTGCATTGGATCGAAGAAAAGCGGCACATGAATAAATTTAAAATCACCAATGTGATCAAAGTCTGCACGTTGTGTAGATACGTATTGGAGGGCGCCTCAATTCCACTATGCTCCGCTAATTTTTCTTCTGGGATCCTTTGTGCAGGGGTAAGCCAACCCGACCTTGCACGGAGAGTCCCGCAATTCAGCACTAAACTAGTTCTTTTGAAGTGAGTGATGATCTTTTGCTTCTTTTAGTCAATGAGAAGCAATAATAGCTACACTCTGATAGGACAGAATGGAAAGAAACGGACATATTATCCGAGTACAACGCCGAGTGGAGGGCAGTTTAGATGGTCTATAGTTGTGGACATAATTTCTGCTGCCACGCGGGTGAAGAGCCGCGGCATAAATGTTTCCAACCCGAACTACATACGTATTCTCCGTGGCAAAATTAATTATGCGTTGCTAATAAGAGAAGTTCGACGACGCATTGCTCGTCGGCCGAATAAATGCCGATGTACATGTTTATAGTGTCTGGATTGGAAAATGAGGTTGGGCCAGGATCGCCATGATTACTATATACTTGATGACTATTGGTGTGATCTCTATGACTAAATACTCTCAGTTTATATGTGCTTATATGTATATTTTATCCTCATGCAGTATCATTGCGGCATCACAAATACCCGCCCATTTTCTACAGCCCTGCGTTAGATAGGGTGGGGATCTCTATGTTTGCAGGCCTTGAATGATCAATGTGTTGTCCATCATCCATGTTTCCGGTATTACAGATGCAAGTACATGTATTTGAAGAACGGATCCGAGACTGGAGGCATTTTAGGAATAAAGAGGCCGGTGTCATATGCAGTCAGATTTTAGCTTCGGGATATAATCTGGCAGGGGATGGAATCCATCGTGATTCATCAGGAATAGCCGATGGCGTGAATCTCACGCAGATCGGACTTTGCCGAACACATATTATCTCTATAAGAGGCCTTGTATCATATTGTTAACTCAAGCGATAGTAGACTTTATGTTTTTGATGGTTGATATAGGCAAGATTATGTACCTGTACTACATACTTATATGCACATATCTACGTACTCTCAATTCTAGGTGGTATTTATATAAATTGTGCATCATAGCTTAAACCTAAACATTTAGCCTGATACACCCCACATTCTCTATAAGGGAATGCTGATGCACAACTAGCGTGACGGTGATCCTTCCACCTTCCTCATTCGAACAACAGGGGGGCACATTTACGAGCATCTACTCTGAACGACATCTTACTAGGTAGTGTATTACTTGAAGTCCCAGTTCGGGAAAGGGAATATATCCACCATAATCAGGACAATCCTTCGTCAACCGAACCGTCAAGAGCCATCGACCATGTCCATCAGACCCGCAAGTCGTATGATTGTATGACACGGCCCGCCGTCGCCAAGGAATGTTTTCAAGATATTCACATGTGAGGAAATTTAGGCTGGGCAAAGAATTTGACGTTACTTTGCCATATTCGGCTGGCATGGCCTCTTCGAGCTAATTCACGCCATGGTCTCTCTAGTTTGACGAAATCTCTCGCCCATGGCTCTCAGTTCGGAATTCCGTCTGTCCGAAGCAAATCTTTCTCTTGCCGCTTGTAAACAAGAATATGTAAGCGAGTGGGAATTCCTAGGGTGTATAAAACGGCGATGCCTCCATTGAAATTCTTGCTATCCAGATTATCAAATTCCTTGACGATATGTCTGCTATATACAACAGCACTGAGGCTTTGCTTAGCCCATTGCCTGTTGATTCAGCGTCCTGGTCTGTAGGTCTCGCCGCTGTGACCGAAGCAAGTTCGCCATTCCTGTGGACGCTCGTTGCAATTGTCGGAGCATCGCTTGTTGCCTGGTTCAGAAAGCCCTGGACTGACGAAAATGGTCATAAAATTCCTAATGGCCCGCTAGGGCTTCCTATCTTTGGTAACTCTACCGCTAATATATATGAAAGGTGGTTTTCTAATACAACTCACAGGTTCCTTTTACTCTTTGACTAGGTATCCAGAGTTGACTCTGGACTTTTGGGCCAAGAAGTTCGGAGACCTATATTCCATCTGGCTTGGAAACCAACTATTTGTCATTGTCTCTGACCCGAACATTGCCAAAGATCTCATGGTTACCAATGGGAACGTATTTTCTTCTCGCAAAGAAATGTTTATCAAAAGCCAGACTGTTTTTGCTGGTCGAGGTATCACTGCTACTCCATACAATGACCGATGGTAAGTCCATTCTAGCCTTCAACGAGGTTGTTGCTGACTATGATTGAAGGCGCAAGCACCGTCGTATTGCGGCCACATGGCTGAGCCAGCGTGCTGTTGACTCGTACTCTCCTGTCTTGGATCGCGAGTCTCTCTCGTTGGTAAAGGCATTGCTTATTGAAAGCAAAGGAGGCCTGGCCCCCGTGAACCCACAGGTATGTCAACCTAAGCCACTGATCTCAAGAACAAGCACTGATTCATAAAGCCTCATGCTGGTCGCTGTTCACTGAACAACATGACAACTATTACATTTGGTTTCCGTGCGGATAGTATCCATCACCCTCTGGTGGGACGGGCCTTGAAGCTCAGCCGTGAATTTATGTATGTATACGGCCTATGGAAATATTTATTGATCTTGCCAATCAACTGACTGAGCTACTAGGAACTGCACTGGCCCTATGTCAAATCTTATCGATTTTATTCCTATCTTGCAGTATCTTCCGACACCATTGCACAGACGTGCCAAGAAACTGCACAAAGGCTTGGTGGACACATATGGTGGGTTTATCAAGGAAACTGAACAGAAGATGAAGGAAGGCAAGAAGGTCCAAGACTGTTTAGCGAAAACGATGATCGAACTCCGCTACAAAGAGGACCTCGATGATTTGGATATGGCAATCCTTGCTTCAGCCTTCATGATCGGCGGTGTTGAGACAGTAAGTTACTGCCATGACAAACTCAGTTCAATGCATCACTAACACCTTATCCAGACTGCTGCTATTATGCAATGGTTCTCTGCTCTTATTCCTGCCTACCCTGAGATCCAGAAAAAGGCTCAGGAAGAGATTGATCGCGTCGTTGGACGTGATCGTCTCCCTGGTATTGAAGATGAAAAGAATATGCCGTATTGTCACGCCATCATCAAGGAGGTTGAAAGAGTTCATAATCCTTTCTGGCTAGGCACTCCCCACGTTGCCAGTGAAGATTTCGTCTACGAAGGGAAGTTCATTCCCAAGGATACTGTGGTCGTTCTCAATACATGGACTATGCACTATGATCCGGCCCGTCATTCTTCCCCCGAAAAATTCGATGTATGTCATCTCTGGCAAGTCCCTTGAATCCTTTATTTACTAACAAACGAAAAAAGCCTGAACGTTATATCGATGACCCCTTGACATCTGCTGACAGTGTCAATGTTGCCGACCCTATGAAGCGAGACCACTGGATGTTTGGAGCTGGGTAAGTACTACTCTGTCTATAATATAAACCTCGACTAAGACTCTTAGGCGTCGCATTTGCCCTGGAATGATTGTGGCTGAGCGTGAAATTTGGCTGACAATCTCCCGTATGCTCTGGGCATTCGATATGTTCGAGATTCCAGGAGAGCCTATCGATTTGAAAGAATACGATGGCCTCTCTGGACGCTCTCCAGTGCCGTTCCGCATCGGACTGAAGCCACGACATGAAAATGTTGCGAAGCTACTAGAGGGAATTGAAATTTAAATTATGCATGGGGGACAGGAGAAAAGACTGAAGATGACTGGGATGGCATTTTCCCAATGAGATATTGCAAGTGTCTATAGCAGGTCCTTCATTATCTGATTACCTGCGTTCTCTCCGCGATATATGCACTGGTGAGTCATTCGGCCTCTGACAAGGCTTATGGTCTAGATTGCGCTATGGCAGTTTCTAGCATCCAACCATTTCCATGACTAGGAAACGCTGTGGGATAAAACAAATGTTGATGCCTTGTACACTCAGCAATCAAAATCGTTTAGACAAGGGCTGCAAGTCCTAAAAATGGAATATTTGGATTTTCTATCCATGCATATACATATATAACCCCCCCCCCCCCCCTCCCCCCCGGCAGTCTGCGCTGTCTACTTTTCAATCTTGGAATATACAGAGCTTCGACTCCACCTCATTAAAGATATTGCAATCTCGGATTTCGAACTATATAAATGGCTATGCTTCTCTCAAATGATCGAGCGAACGATACGCATAGGAAGAGCTTTGAACCAAGCACCCCAAGTGGCATACTCGACTCTTGGTGGAAGGTCCACATCGAGAGAACTGTCCCTTATAAAGCTGTCGATATCCATCTTGTCAATTGAGACGAACCAACCTCCACGATCGAGGTTCGGGTCTTTGTTAAATTTGGTGTAAACAAGCCAGCAGACGAAAAGTAGTATAACAAGCGGTCCGGCAAGATAGTTCATGAAAAAGGTCTCTGCATCTTTATCAGCCACGGAGACATAAAATTCCGCGATGAGACACAAGACGTTAAGACCTAGACCAATATAGCTACCAATTACACCAAAGGGAGCAGCATAGGTCAGCTCCTTTACGGTGCGCCCATTGTGTGCCCAGGCGGAACGGAAGCGGATATGGGCAAGGCAGATGCTTCCCCAGACGAAGAAGTCGGAGATGCCAGACAAGGCAAGAAGCCAGTTGAAGATATCGCCTCCAGATGGTGCCTCATTGACGAAAGCAAGCAAACCAAAGATAATCTGCAGAATAATGCAGTAAAGAGGACGACCTCCCTTGTCAATATATGCCATGAATCTCGGTGCCATTCCTCGTGAAGCCAGAGCCTGGATAGTGCGGCTTGAGCCGTAAGTGGCAGAGTTAGCCACACTTATGACTGAAATAGTGATGATTGCATTCATGACAGAGGGCAATCCGGAGATACCGGCATTCTGGATTGATACGACGAATGGAGAAGCCTTGGTGTTGGCACCAGATGCTCCGAGAAGCCAGTCGGCGTTGGAAGGCACAATAAGGCCAATGATAAATGTCCCCAGCACATAGAAGATCATGATACGCCAGAAGACCTGCTTGGATGCTTTGGGAATGGACTTGGCAGGGTTTGCCGCCTCTGCAGCGGCAAGGCCGGCCATTTCTGTGCCAGCAAAGGCAAAGGCTGCTGTTACGAAGACCGAACAGAAGCCCTTGAAGTCTGTGAATGCACCAGGGTCATACCAGTAATGAGCTCCAATGTAACCTCCTTTCGGAGCTCCACCGCAGTCAATCACAATTCCTAGGATAATAAAGCCAATGACAGCAGCGATCTTGATCGCTCCCAACACAAACTCGACTGTAGACTGAGGTTAACACGAATGGACCTCGAACAGATATACAATCTCGTTCTCTCACCTTCTCCGTATCCTCGAACGCCAAAGAATTGAATCGCAGTTAGAACGACTAGGAAGACTGCGATCCAAATTCCACTGTTTAATGTTTCACTCCAGTAACGAATTGTTAAACTTGCGGCCGTGAGCTCGAAGGGAAGAATGATGAGCCATTGGATAGCATAGTCCCAGCCGACAGCAAATCCCCTATTGTAAGACGAGCAGCCAGTCAGTTTCCACTTAATCAATAATTTATTACATAAACAGGGAAATCTCACCAGGCGGGACTAATGAACCGGACGCAGTATGTGAAGAAGGCTCCATTGACGGGATATAGCACAGCCAGTTCGCCCAAGGCTTGAACTGTAAGAAGAAGCATGCCTCCAACGATCAAGTAGCATACTAACAAAGAACCAGGTCCGCCCGTGCGAAGAGCAGACCCCGTACTAACGAAAAGACCAGCTCCAATAGCGCCACCTTTGCTGAAATTAGTATCAGAAAAAAATGAAGATTTATCAAAAAACACATACCAACAGCGATCATCTGCATATGGCGATTCTTCAGATTCCGCTTCAGCGGGTTAACTTTACCGACATTGTCGGCCCCCAAATCATCATGGGCCGAAGGAAGGCTTTCAGATGGTTCCACGGCAGTGGCCGCTTTTTTCTCGATGTCTGAGTCCATCGCGGTCATTTTTTTGGATTATGCACCAATGCAGGTAAGAAAACCTATTAGCGGCGACAGGCAATCTATATATAAGACCCTTCCCGGAGACCAGGTTGACTTGCATTCCGTCTGCGATAAGCAATGCATTAGGGGTATTTTGGCTAATAGCTCATGGGGTGGTAACCAAGAGGTGATCAGACGACAAGGCAAAGATAAGGCTTTCTGTACTTCTGGGCACGGAGTAAGATCTTTGATATCATCACTCATGGCCAATCAGAGTGAAAGCCCAAGTATATTCTTTGAGCTTAGCTGAGACGCCACCCTTGGCCACAACACGGTGATTTGACCCTTTTCTCCTATTTTCCGAGTCTGATTCGCTATCTGAATATTCCTCGCTTGAAGATAGCCCTGGAACTCATCTCTTCTAGGCTCTCGCGGCATAACTAGTTGTACGCTGATGGTAAGACTTCAGATAAGCACCCCACCTCTGCCCCTGAACTGCGAATCATCCAAAAATGGTGGTGGCGGGGTTGGCATGTGTAAGTCTGGGGTACCAGAGTGTCAAATAAAATTTTCATTCAAGGATATCTTGTTTATATCGGGCGGATGGCATGGTCCATATAAAAGTCCGGCTGCCGCGGAAGATTCAAATGGAATTTAGATTCGATTGAACAAGGTCCGATTCGCGTATCGTCCGCGATTTTCAAAGCCATGGGGCGTATTGAGGAAGGAATCCTTCTCCTGTCCACGTATTGGAGTGCGGGAAAAGGCGTGCTCTTATCATGCGCCAATACGCTTTCAACAAAAGGAAGAGTTACATTTGTCTCGTAAATTGCCCGGGCGCTGAATACTGATGGTACCTCCCAATCTTAGGGGGAAATAAATGCCGATAGGCTTCAGAAATTGAAAGGCCCGATTGGATCGAAAGTACTACTTGTCTCGGTGTCGCCGATATGGATGGCTATGCCGAATACCATCCTAGGGAAAGATTTTTATCAAAATATACCATTTCACCTGTGATCAATGTACATATTAAGAAATTTCCAGAAAATAGAGCCCGAAAGCGCGTACTAAGGGCCTTCTGGAATGGACGAGCGCCTTGTCTCCAGCCGGCACATGGCAATGCCATGCAGTTCTCCCTATCCTAGTTCTCCCTACCCTATTCCAAGCCACATAAACTTCCACGGTTGCCTTAATTACCGCTAGAAATTACTCGAGCAACATGATCTGCAATGTTATACTCCGCCACAGCACGAATTTGGCTGCTCATAAATCAGGGAAGAGTCCTGTAGTAGCTGTTAGTAAACGGCATTACTACAACTTATCGATAAAGTTCTCACCCATTATTTTCATCATAGCAACAACACCATCTCGTTCCCATGTTGGAAGTGCAGGTAAAGTCCATGTCGGATACATGTTTTCAACCTGAAGGGATTGAGTCACTTTTTTCACAACAGGTTCCTTCCAATTAGCATATCTCTCACGCAGTTGCCGAGTCACGTCGACCATTTTGAGTCTTTTGCGATTAGGACATTCCTTGATCTCGTAGGTTGACCACCACGCAAGGGAGTCTCCCGCCTCAGACACATGATAAGGCGAATCCCGATTAGTAGCAGACTCCGAACTCCCAGAAAAGAAATATCCGAAGAATCCGTTTCCACCAAAGACAAAATTCATGGACCCCGTCTCGACAAGATCTTTTACATCCGCAGCAGGGATGAAGCCCCCAACCCCGACGAGACCTCTGTCGCACAGTTAATTATGAGACCACATAAAATATCGGTAATGGCCGGATCAAGTATTTACAGTGTTTACTTACTCGTCGTTTGGAGGATATGGGTCCTCTTTCGCATCCGGGAAAATTGCCCGCTAAGCAGTACTTCTGACACCGTCTGCACTGATAACCAGATCAGCCTCCACTGCAGGGCTGTCGTCCGCAAATTGAATCAAATTCCTTTCATTGGATCGGGCAATAACTTGAGTTATTCTTTTGTTGATGATATGGTGGTCTGGAATTCGTCCCCGCAGAGCAGCCCAAAGCGAGTGGCGACTAGTCGCAAGCACGTGGAAGGATTTTTGTTGATTATTGTGGGCGTTTTCATCCAAAGAACGACTTGTCATTGAAAAAAGGGGCCAGCCATTTTTGTTTTTCATGTTGGAAGTTGCTGTCACGTAACCCCCCCCCCCCCCCCCCCCCCGGGGACAATATCTTTCAACAGCTCTTCATCGAGTCGTTTCAGTACATTCAAGCCATTGGGAGCAACACCTAGTCCACCTCCAACAAGTAGCGTAGAAGAATGCGTGTGTTCCTCTTTTCTTTCATCAATTGTAATGCTCGGGTTTGTGCTGTATGCCTCGTAAATAGTGATCTATCTCATGGGATTCGTCGGATTTGGTAGGCCGCGGAAGGTGCTTTTGCAGCTCCAGGTAAGCTGCACATCCAGCGATCCCAGCACCAATGACGATAATCTTCATTGTGCTACTCAAGAGAAGGGCGAACAAATTTTGAAAAGAATATGCGAATGGAAAGTCAAAAGTAGAGACCTCAACTATAAATGCTTGGCATATTTTAAGGTTGGTCAAATGTGGGTCACCGCAAAGCTAGCCCAATTAAGCTAGGCTGTGGTAAATTCACCAATTCACAATAGAATTACCAGCTTTCATTAGAAGACTAGGGAGCAAAGTGAAATCTTTTGGGTTCGAGTGGACATTCGATATTCTTTGCCTAACTCTCATATCACTTCCATCTCGCGACAGATGTAGGATGCGACATAGGCGAAAAATCTCTCAGAGGTGGGTGCCTCATCCATATCGCTTAGGCTTGAAGGGCTCCATATTGTAATGATCTCGAGTGGAAACCCAATCATCAACGATCCACTCCCAGTGGCTTGGTTTGTGGATGCCCTAATGAATTCTTTGGCTGAAAAAATCGACTGTACATGTCGCTGAACGCGTCCCTCGTATACGCACGCCGACGGCGAAACGACAAAAAGGAGCTGAAGAGCGATCACACTCACCGCATCATATATTGAGCCCAAAGTGGCTGTAGGTACATCCAAGTAATCAAGCAGTGGAAAATGATTTGGGGCCCCTGCGTCATTAGGTCCACATACCTCTCTGCTTAGCTCCCATCCATTGATCTGCATTTGCTTCAACAGGATTAGACACAGAGATACACTGTGACCACCAGCTGTGCAGTTGTGATATTAAACCCAAAACCATGCTATTCAATGTTATTATTAGTACTTCATTCTCCTCAGCCTTATTTAGGATCATCCTTTCTGCAACCGATAGGCACAGCAACAAGAAAAACATGACGTCCACAAGCTGATCAAATGCAGTTTTCAGATGGAGTTGAAAGGGCACTTCCACCCATTCAGTCGAGGCAAATGCATGCTGCTCATTTCTAGATATCGCGGCAATAAACTGCCGACAAATATATGCTTCAGCAGAGCATCTCAATAAAGTCAAGAAGTAGCCCCCAGGAGAGAACCCACAGACAAAAGCTTCAGATGGCGAAAAAGCTGGTGCAAAAACCCATCACGGCAACTCTCTGGGCAACCTCCAGAGTGCCGTAAAGATACATCGAGGCGGCACGAATGGCATATTTTACAAGATTTGGCCGTGGCGAGACAATAATGATGCCAAGTTCATCCAGCCACGGTGGCGATGGGCTCGCTGAAACCGGAGCCTTGAAGCCAAATTACTCGATGAAATGAGACTCAAATAGCTGGTCAAAGATGCTGTCACGGCTGGGCTGGTGGCCGCTAACGATCCAAGAACCTTCTGGATTTGGTGCAACTACAGATGTTATCTCGGTAATATCCCAGGGTTCCCAGCCCACTAATATATCCCTTGTTGTGGTTCTCGTTATTTGAGCCTGCAGAGTGTGGACGAAAAAAGCTCCTGTCCTAGCACCAGAACATTGCAAACCCTTTTTAACACACTGCAGACACTGGGGGTGGCTTCATCACACTAGGCAATAAGAGCTAGTCACATGTCTCGAGTGTTGAAGCTGGAAGAAAGTGCCTTGAGTTTACGCCGCCGACATTCTGCGCAGCCCTTACTTCTACCTGGAACATTACCATGCCTAAGTTTAGCCATAGAAATCGGACAAGCAGCATAGAAGTTTGCTGGAAATAAAATGCCACAAATGAAGAATATTATAGCAAACGAAGACTCATGAAGCTAGTCCATCTAGGCCACCTTCCAACCAGACTTAGGCCCCGAGCGGGGGTCGGTGTATAGCGTAATACGCCTTGGGCCCACCAGCACCTAGTTAACGTATTTCATATGTGAGACAAGCGAGCTGCGCAGTCGAAACACCATAGTAAAATCGATATATGCTACACTTATATCTCCACAACCAAATATTTTTTATTAACAGTAGTTTGCCGATAGGCATTGATAAGAATTTTTAGTAGTATACATCAATTTCGAGTAGATTAAAAACCTGCATTATTATGGTATCGAAAATTACGTCTTTGAATCCTCGGAATATATATATCTCAGTCATGAATTTCTTAATCTTTCTTAAATTCCCCCAAACTATCAAAAGGAGCAATATATTATATGAAAAGCATTAGGCTGTAAGGAAAAGTTCGCAAAGACAAGCATTGTTGAGATATCTAGTTGTAATTTATCGCATTTACTATGGGTATCGGACTGCGCAGCTCGCTTGTGTGCGCAGCTCGCATGTGAAATACGTTAACTATGTACATACATACATAGACTACTTTGTATGTATCGCCCACGAGTGCTTTCCACGTGACACTCAACTATACTTGATCCCGATCTGCTTATGATTGTAATTTTGCTCTCTGACCTTTTGCCATAATGATAGTCACTGGCAGCCCGTTGTCTAGAACTTCGCTGAGAAAAACCCCCAGTTCACAAGACCACTACATAGTTATAACAAATGGCTTTACATAAGATAAGACAGAGGTAGATATCTCCCTTAATTGCATGAACTTGATACAAAAGGAGAAGCATCGAAAAATGGGAGCAAATACAATGGCAAAGAAATGCATCGTTTCAGCGTCTGATTACACGAGTAAGTTAAATCCAAGAACAAGCAGCCATAATCGACTACACCATGTACCGCTAATCCCAGTTTACATCACAACACAGCAAGAGTTTTGCTTCTTGGCCTAAAGTTTGTTGCGTTAGTACATTCGGGTGAGGCAAGATTTGATTTGCATACCTGGGTATAGAACATCTTGCTCTGAGCTGATAGCCCATCACTCTTCTGAACCAGGGAGTCGATCTTCTCGCCACGCTCCAAAACGCTTTCGATCTGCAAACGGTTAGCACACATAGTGAGCTTATAGGAACACAAAAACATACCGTCTTGTGAAGGACAATCTTGGTTTCGTCAAGCTCCTGCTGGATCTTCATGATGCTGTCGGCCTGACTTGGATCCTGGTACTTCACGAGATACTCCTTGAGTTGCGGCATGGGGCACGCATTCTCGCGCAAAGCAGGATCGGAGAAGGCAGTGCGCGGGTATTTGGCAAGGAACTCATCCACAATCTTGCCCAAAAGCTGGTGGGCCACTAGGGCAGGGTAGTCCCCATCTGTAACAATAACACCGGCAACACCCTCTGTCCGTCCGTAAGCGTGGAATGTGTAGGCCTTCTCTTCAATATCCTGCCGTTGGCCTGCCTTTGTCTTCTCGGCGACCGTTCGGTTGAAGAGCATCAAGAATTCATCGTAACTGTTAAGCGCTTGGCGATTAGTGAGCTATCCATGTCGGACCGCGAGAGGATGGGTGGGAATACTTTTGACGAGTGAAGCGCGAAAAGCTAGTAATAATTAGCGAAACATTCCAATCGGTTGCAGGGCGCGCATGTGAAACTACCTGCTGAGGTCCTTTTCCCCGCATAGCTGGAGAGCTGGCTGGGTGTCGTTCCGGAAAATCTGGGAGATTTACACAGATAAGTACCATATCTTCGATCAAATCCAAGCTGCGGTGAAACATACGCCCATATAAAGAATCTTCATGGTGACAGCGTGGTTGTCCGCACAAGAACAAGGAGCCAAGTAGGTGTCGGGGGGTAGTGGGGCGTTGGACCGTAGGTAGTAGGTAGATGCTTATCAGGGAAATACTCTGGTATCAAAGAACTGGGCAACTTCTTTATTGTAGCAGCTCAGCTATATGATTAGATGAAGTGGCAAAGCAAAGTGATAGTTAAGCCCAAAACAGGCTCCTGAGTTGCCGATAACAATGATGCACTGGACCTTCTGCATTGTGGCCTGAGGCATGAGAAGCACACCGCTCTTGTCATGCGACCGACTGAGCCCTGCGGGCCTGCCCTATAACTACATTTGGCTTATCTCAGATCCCCTCATTCTTTGTTGCTTGGCTTATCACTTCTACTTGGGCATTAGATCAACTAAACGTTTTGATACACCCAAAATGGACAGTATTGCAGCCACCGAGTCGCAATGGCTGTCACAACTAGCAGCCATGCGCCAGGCCATTGCCGATCTGAAGCTCCCGCAAGACCTTCCTCACGAATCTATCAGCTATGGGAGCGATATTGATCTGGACATCGACGACGACGACTATTCATCCCCGGGAACAAATGATGATGTGTGGGATATCATCAGCTCGGATGATGAAACTTCCGACGACTTGGACGACTTAGATGGACTTGACGGACTTCATCTCGCACAAGGGTCCTCCTACAATCGGTTGTGGCTTGAAGACAAGTGCCAGGATTTGGCTATCCGAAACTCAGCCATAGATCCGACAGAGCTTGCCCAGCAACTCATCGCCACCTTAGCTGCTGACAGCAATGACGAGGAGCTACAAATGTCTTTGGCAGAGGTTGTTGGATTCGATGACCTGGATCTGGTGATTGAGCTGATTGCACACCGAGGAGAAATTTTGTCGGACAAGGGACCCCGCTTGGAATCTCAGACAGATGGGCTCATGGCAGGTAGACTCCAAACACGAGCAGAGAGAGAGCATGCTTTGCTACAGCGTGATTTCGAACATAAGAATGCAGCGTTGATGCCGGCCCAAACCCGATCGGAGCCTTCCTACCCGCATGTTTTCAAGCAACACACCTCTGGTAATACGCTTTCTGCCAATGGAAGGAAATATGGGTTGCCCC